CTGGGTCCCCCCTTCCCAGCTGGGCAGCACGTGGGGCCTGGCAGGAGGGGGACGGTGGTGGCAGCGGGCACGGTGGGCGGGAGGGGAACGCTCCCCAAAAATGAGACGCCCGAGGTGGATTTTCCGGGGTGCCGCCACGCATCTGGAGCCCGAGCACGCCGGGGTGAGCCAGAGAGCTGGCCTCCCCCCCCCCCCCCCTCAAGATTCGGGGGGATGCAGGAGCTGGGAGGGCTGTGCTGGATCCCCAAAATATCGGGGGGGGGGGGGGGGGGTGATGGGAGCGCTGGGATGGGGACACAGGCTGGAGCAAGGCCGGGGGGCTGCCAGGCACAGCCCAGCCCGGCTGCAGCACCCCTGGGAGGTGGCACTTTGGAGGGGGGGGATGCGACACACGGGACGTGGAAGAGGAGGGGGGGGGGGGGGGGGGGGGGGGGGGCTGGGGAACCCCCCGGGCTGCGGCGGCTTCGCTTTCCCGCTAATTGGAGATGTTAATCTCGGGCGCCTTTCCGCTCGGGGTGCTGGCAGGAGGCACCAGCTGTGCCGCGGCGCCCGCGCCGCCTTTTTAATCAAGCTGCCAGGGCAGGGAGGAGGGGGGGGGTTACGGGGAGGGGGGGGGGGGTACGGGGAGGGGGGGCTCACCGGGCCAGGTGGCCCCGTGGCACAGGGACCGTGTCACCCCGCTGCCGTCCCCCGAGGAGCGGGGAGAGGGCAGGATCCTTCCCAAAGCAGCCCCCCCAATCCCGCCCCTCCATCCCCTGGGCCCCCCCCCACCCCCCCCAGCAAAGCGGGGTGCGGCCTGGTGTCACCAACCCCAAATGCCACCAGTGCCTGTGAAACGTGTGTGTGTGTGTGTCCCCAGTCCCGCGGGGACCGGGAGGCGCTGGATCCCGTGGGATGGAAAGCACCGGGGTCCTCACACCCATCCTTCCCCCCCCCCCTTCAAAAAAACCCCAACCCCCTCCTCCATCCTCCACCCCCGGCCTCCCAACACCTCCGCAGTTTTGGGGGGTGGTTTTATCCATCCCCCCTCCCCTCCAGTTCCTTTTCAATCCTTTTATTCCCCCCCCCCCCCCAAAAAAAAAAATGCCAAGGGAAGGTGTTAACGGATTTTTGGAAGGAAACGTCTAAATTGCAAGAAAAAAACCCTTCCACGCCGACAGCCGGAGCAGCTGGAAGGACAAATATAGCCGGGGAGGAGGATGGGGGGTGTGGTGGGAGGCGGTGGCCGTGCCGAGAGCGACACCTGGTGACTGGCATACACGGACACGCGTGAACACGCGTGTGCTCGCGGGGCGAACGCACACCCCATCTCCCTGGGCCAGCCGGCGGGAGGGGAGAGCCGCAGGTGGGGAAACTGAGGCACGTGGGGAAACTGAGGCACGGCTCATCCCGCTGCCCGGCTCCGTGGATCCGCGGTGATGTGCAGCACCTTGGCGGGAAGGCTCCTCCTCCCCCTCCTCCTCCTCCTCTTCCTCTTCCTCTTCTTCCTCCTCGACCCCTTTCCAGTCCATCTCCACCGCCCAGCACGTGTCGCGGTGGATTTTCCGGGCACCAACAGCCGCCGCCCCACGGACACACGTGGAGCTCGACCACGTCGGGAACATCGAAAACGGGGGCGGGGGGCGGCCGGGGGCGGGGGGGGGACACACGTGGGAACCGGGAGATCTGTGCCCGGATCCCACGGCTCGATCCAGGCGACGGCACCGCGGGGATCGAGCGGAACCCAGCGGGGAGGAAGCCAGAAGTGGAGATTTACAGCCATTACCCCCCCCCCCCCCCCCCCCAAAAAAAAAACCCCAAACCAAACATTTGGCACAGCAGCTGCTGCCACCGAGGAAGTTCAATGCGAAAATAAATTAAAAATAGAATCCCAAGGCCCCGGTCACCTTCGGACGGGGCGGCGAAGGGGGATGCCGGAGGAATCGGGGGTCTTTGTCTGCCGGCGATGCCCCAGTGCCGAAGGGGGGGGACACATCGCTGTCCCCCCTCCCGCCCCGGGCAGGGACCAGGCGGTTGGATTTGGTGCTCAGTTGCCGGCCCGGTTTCCAGCTGCCCCGCTCGTAAATCAGGAGGAAGGCAACCGGGCCCGGTTCGGTGGCTGGGCTGGGGGGGGGGGGGGGGCTGGGGGGGGGTTCGCTCCTGCTTTCAAAGGCGAGAGGAAAGCACGCGGTGCCCCCCCCCCCGCCATCTGCACAGGGATATATTTTAAGACGTGTCAGCGGCGGGGATGCTAAACCAGGCGAAAGGAGAGTGAGAAAGCTGGGGCTGGAATTGGGGGGGGGGGGAGGCTAGGCTGCAGTGCAGGGACATCCCCCCCCCGCCCATTCACCCCCCAGCAGCACCCCCTTGCTCGGTGGGGTCACAGAAGCGGGGGATCCCCCCCGTCAAGGGGTCACTAAAAGGAGCGAGTGAGGGTCTGTCTGAGCCCCCACCCATCAGAAAGCGGCTGCTGGGGGGGGGGGGAGCAAAGGGAGCCCCCGGAGCAGGACCCCCCCCCCCTCAAATCTTGTGCCACCCCCGATCCCTCCCCTCCTCCAGTCCCCCCCCCGCCCGGGAGGAGCTGAAGCACCGGCAGAAGGGAGAGGGGTGGACGGATGGGGGGACACAGACCCTGCGCCCCAGGAGCAGGATCGGGCCCCCGAGGCACCCCGGGGGTCCTCTGCAGAGCCCAAGAGAGGGGGGGCCAGGAGCTGGGGGAAAGTTTGGGGACCAACCCCTGCCCCCCCCCACCCCCTTTCCTTCCCTGCAGCCGCCCTGCTCCAGCTCGGGCATCACCCACCCAGCCGCTCGGCAGCACCCAGCTCGGGGGGGGGGGGACACACACACACACCCCCCGAGGCTGGGGGCCCCGCTCCCAATTAGCGTGAGCTAACGAGCAGAGTGGAAGGGGGGGGGGGGGGCTTACCGAGGCTGCAGCCTCGAAGGGCAGAGGGCCGGTGATGCTGAGCCCCGGCAACTGGTGCTGAGCCAGCACCGGGATGAGGGGTATTAAAAAAAAAAAAAAAAAAAAATGTTTTTTTAAGGGAAAACACAGTTACCGTGCGATTTGCAAAGGCTACAGCGAGCAGCGCAGTAATTCAGTGCAATGGAGCAAAAGGCGATACAGTAACAGGAAATATTTAATTTTCCAATCTCCACTTTCCATTTTTATAAACTGAAAAGAAAAAATTTAATATATTACAAAATATCTGTACAGAGACAAAGGTACAACCAAAAAAAGGCGCGCTCAGTCTCAAAACGAAACTCAGGAGAGGTACAGTAAGAGTCTTACCAGACGCTTCTCTGCTGGGTAACTGGCTACAGCGTGTTAGACATTGGCATGAAACCCAAAAACGATCCGTGTGGAGGAAGAAAGGAGGGGCGAATTGCCATCTAATGACTTGTCTGTAACCTGCACCACATTTTAAATCCTTTTAAATGCAGGTTTCCCACCCCCGCCCCCCAGTAAATCCTTTTGTCTTCTTTGTACAGAGACCCTTTAAAAACAAAAAAAAAAAAAAAAAGAAAAAAGAAAAAAAAAAAAGAAAAAAAAAAAGAAAAAAAAAGAAAAAAAAAAGGAAAAAAAAAAGGAAGAAACAGGAAAAAAAAAAGGACAAAAAAAGGAAAAAAAAAAAAAAAAGAAAGAGTGAGCTGCTGGGGGGTGAGGGGGATGTGAGCAGCCCCCCAGCCCTGCGATCAGGGGGGGTCGTGTCTCAGCCTGGCTCCCTTCACCCCTGCGGGGATGGAAATCCCCTTACTGGGACCAGTTCAGAAAAGCCCCTGGAGCCGTGGCCCCCCCAGCACCCCAGCTCTGCCCCAAACCTCCCCGGGGTGCTCAGGGAGGGGTGAAAAGCACCTCCCGGCCTGGCCTGGGGGGACAGACACCATCCCCCCCCCCCCCCGAGCAAGGGACAGAAGTCTGGGACGTCTGTCCGTTGCCCCGGGTGGGACAGAGAGAGGGACAGGAGCCCCCCCCCACTGCCCCCCCCCCCCCCCCCGGGGTCCCCAGCACCTTCCCAGTCCCGGCTGCAAAATAAACGGGGGGGGTGGGGGGGCAGAGGTGACCCCGCCTTTTGCTTCACCAAAAACTGGGCCAGGTCACCCCCAAACTGTCGCAGGGCTGGGGGGGGGGGGGGGGGCACAGGCCCCGCTCGGCTGCGCGGGGATCTGCCAAATCGCAGAGCCAAGAGCTGGGCATCGGCTCCCGCGGAGGATTCAGCCCTGGCACACGACTTCTCCATCCAAATCGGACGGGCAGGGGAGGAAAAGCCACAACAACAACAACAACAAAAGCTCCACCACCGACCGGAGCTGGCAGCTGCAGGGTGGAAAGGGAAAATCTAGAAATTCAAAAAAAAAAAACACCCTCAAGAGGTGACTGGCTTATTTAGTGCACTGCATCTTACAGAACTTTTTTTTTTTTTTTTAAATCCTGCACATCAGGCCTGAACCGGCAATTAAAGAAGAGGAAAAAAAAAAACAAAAAAAACAAAAAAAACAAAAAACCAAAAAAAACCCCAAGCACCACCAACAAACCAAAACCCAACAAATTTATACTTGGAATTTCGCAAAGGGTGTCGCTCCTCGGTGCTGACTCAACACTACGAGAGCTGCTGGTCCCTGCTCGCGCAGGGCCCTCGCACTTCACCAGCACTGTGTGGACATATACATGTATATATATATATTTATTTTCTCTCCCATCCTTCCTCCCACGGCAAAGCTGCTGGGTGCAGCCGTGGGTCTGGCTGTGTAAGGCAGGTTTTTTTTCCCCAGTTAGAGAAGCACCACCTATTTAGGTGCTTTTTTTTTTTTTTGTTTTTTTTTGTTTTTCTGTTTTTGTTTTTAAATTTATCTCTCTGTATAAAAAAGAAATTAAATCAAATCCTGTTAGTAGCAAGAAGGTCTCTCGGCCCCCTGGACTCCCACCCGTTTAACACCTCAGAACACTGTCATCTCTAAAATGAAAAGAACCACCGTCTGTTTTCCATAGGAAAGGCCTACTCAGAAAAAAAGCTCATAAATATGTACCTTTGTTTTATTCATCTCTTTTGTTTAAGTCTCATTGAAATGGACAACATCGCAAGGTTCTGCGGGAGGAGAAAATTCATTGTAAATACTTCCTTGACAACAACAAAAATATATATATGCTTATAGAAATGATACATTAACGCCTGGTAAGCCTCAAGGTACTGAGATGCTGCTGGGGGAGCCCGACCGACGCGGCCGGGACACGCAACGCCCGCCCGGGGGGAACGCGGGTACAAAGGACACTCCTACCTGGCGGTGACCCCCCACCAGAAATTGTTTTTTTTTTTTTCCTTTTTTCTTTAATTAAGTGTTTCGGAAGATATGAATTACAAAGAAATATACGTATTTTCAAGGGAGGTGTTCTCTTCGGCTCTTAAAAAAAAAAAAAAAAGGAGGGAAAAAAAAAAAAAAAAAAAAGATTCCTACTGCAAAGTTCTAGCAGGAGGTACAAAACCTACAAAGCCCAAGGAGACCCTCCAGGAAAGCCGGTGGGCCAAGGCTGCTGGCCTGGCCCCGGGGCCAGCGGGACTGAGCACCAGCCTGTGCCACCCCCTGGGTCTCCCCAGCCAGGAGACCTGGCCCAGGCGCCTCTGCAAATTTAAAGTTTTTTTTTTTTTTTTTTAAAGGAAATTGGGAAAGCAAACAAAGAAACAAAAAAAAAAAAAAATTGCTTCGGGAACCAGACTCTCCCTCAGCCCTACCTGAACATTGCCCCACGCTTCCCCCACGGAGAAGCGCCGGTGCCCAGCTTGTGAAGCTTTTTTTTTTTTTTTTTTTTTTTTTTTTAAATTTCCTTCTTCCCACAGGGTTGGGTTTGTTTCATTCCTATTTATTTAAACAATTTCCCCCCCCCCCCCCAACTCTGCTGGCTCAGGGCAGAAAGCTCACCGTCTTTTGCGGTGGTGTGTGTTTTTTTTTTTTGTTTTTTGTTTTTTTTTTTCTTGTTTTTTTTCTTTCTTTTTTTTTTTTTTTTTTTTTTCTCCTTTTTTCAGTTTTGTTGGGTCACTAACCAAGCGCAAGAGGTTTTGGCCAGCGAGACGCCCAAGCGGGGACCCTACAGTAAGTCATGGGAAGGGGAGGGGAGTGGGGGGGCCCCGCCGGCAGCCTAGCAAGGAATACAAACAGGGAGCTTTGCAGCAGCTGAAATGCAAACGAGACCTTGCTCCGGCAAAGAAAAAAAAAAAAAAAAAAAAAAAAGAAAAAAAGAAAAATTACCACCCCCCCCCAAAATAATTAAAGTCATGTCACTAAAGGGGGGGAGAGGTGAGGGAGGGGGGACACCTCGCAGCTCAGTAGGGAACCCCTCGGCCCCGGCCGCCCCGCGGAGGCACTCTGCCAGCCCCACGGTACGCCTTCCCGTACGAGGGAGCCGCCTGGGTCGGGGCACCCCAGCTGGGACCTGTTCCTGCCCCGCTGGAACCGGCCGTCCCCGGTCCCAGCTCGCCGTAATTTTGAATTTTGGCCTCCGGATGTACCAGCGTGTTGTTGCTCCCCTCGGCTTTCGTGAAAGATTGCCCGACCGAGTGGACGGTGACGGGGACTCGGGCGAAGCGGAGGTCCTGGTCCCCTGGAAACTGGACAGATCCCGTGCCCTGGTAACTGCTCGTCTCCCCGAGGTGGCTCACGGAGCCCAAGAAGGTCCTGCTTTTCCCCAGAGGCTGGGCAGAGGGTTCTAGCAGAGTCTGGCCTGAATTCAGCTCCTCGGCACCAAATCCCCCCTCGGAGCCCTCGGCGCTGTAAGTCCTGGAGGAGTGGGACCTGCCGTAGTCCGCGGCTCTCGAGGGCTGGTGGTGTTCGTGCGTCGGGTGGCCGAGCGGCTCCGTCTCTTGCTGGGAAAAGAGCTGCAGCAGCGCGGCCGTCACGGCCGGGTTCAACTCTTGGGCTGCGCTGGAGAGATCGCCTTCGGAGAGGGGCGGCGGCGGCGGCGGTCCGGGGGGCTCGGGGGGTCTCTTCTCTGGTGGGAGAATGCGAGGAGGACATGCTGTGGAAGGGTTACTTCTTTTAAAGACCATCGTAAAACAGCACGCGAGCAGATATAAATGCATTTATATGAAGAAAAAAAAAAAAAAAACAAAAAAAAAAAAAACCAAACCAACCAAACGTCCTACCGAGACAGTCCGCTCTCTAGGACGCGATGGAAAAGGGGCGGAGGGGTTTAGGAGCGGGCGCCCCTCGCAAGATCAACGCACGCGGTTCAGGAACGGCTGCCCCGTCCCCCCACGCCCCCAAACACCCGGCGCCCGCTGAGGGAATTCCTGCTCTGGGATCAAACACGACAGCGCGTGTTCCCCAAAAGCGGGGTCTCCCCCAAAAAGCGGGGTCCCCCCGCCTCACTGCTCCGGGACCAGGCTTCTACGCCGCTGGAGCGTGGCCCTTGACGTACGGGTTTAGAAAACCCAGAGAAAACCAAAACCCAACCCCAAACGCACACATCCCAGCTCCCCACTGCACCCACAGCAGAGCGGAGGGAGGGGGTACACCCTCTCGTGTCCCCCCCCCCCCCCTTTGCTTCTTACCAGAGCCGGCCCCGCTTCACTTGGGTTTTGACCTTTTTTTTTTTTTTTTTTTTTTTACAAAGTACATTTCCAGCGTACAGTCCAAACCAATCTAAACCCACCAATATTTGCATGCAACGTACAGACGGTCCTGGAGCACGAGAAAATCCTTTGCCCCCCCCCCTCCCACCCACTTCTCCCCCCCCCCCCCCCCCCCCAACTCCCCCCACCCCCCAAACCAGACCTGCTCACAAGGATTTCTGTTTCCAAAGGACCCCTCCTAGCTAGAACAAAAGCACCCTTCACCCCCCCACCCCACTCCCCCTTCCCATCACCACACTCTTATTACTTTGTGTTACTGTTTTTTTTTTTTTTTTGAGGCAGCAGGAAGAACAAAGCAGGCGGGTTGGGTGGTGGGAAAGGCGAGAGCAGAGCTCTGGCCCCCCCGGCGGGGAGGACGCGATCTGCCCCCGCCGCCGCGCGCGTCGGCTTCGCTCCCGAAACCAGCCCTGACTCCTGCCGAGCAACACAACTGCACTGACTCCGTCTCGTTCATCGACACAAGGGCCGGCTAACACGGTGGTCAAAGTTATCACTGGCGATGACGTAAGAGGCCACGGACACCTTGTTTGAATCAGAGCCTCAAATCATTTGCAAAACTGGTTATTAAAAAGGTCAAACTTTATTGTGAAAACCAGTAGTCTTCCAGGACCACCCCTCCACCCGTATCAGTCAGTCCACTTTAAAACTAGATTGTATTTAAATCCAGAAAACAATCTTCAGGTAATTTTAAAGCCAAGCTGATTTGGGGACAGCATATCATTTAAAATAATTATAAACAGAGAACAATGTTATTTAATTGAATCTGCTCTACAATAACCTAGTTATCTTCCAGTACTAGGGCAGGAGAAAAAAAAAAAAAAAAAAAAAAGAAAAAAAGAAAAAAAGAGCACGATCACAACTGGCTTGTGGTGGGCGGGTGTGTTGAAGGCACGAGAACACAGCACGTTCAGCTACATTGCAGAGGAGTTGTGTATCGGGCCAAAAGAGGCTCCCTGGAGAGTCTGAGACATACTCAGGAGGCGCTTCTAGAATTGGGTGAGGTCGTCACAGGATGTTGCTAATAATTCAAAAAATCAACAGAAACAAAAGACATGGAGACATTTACACTCACCTTTGAAAAGGAAATCCAAGAGTTCACTGAATACAATCAGGTCTTTTAAACATGCCTCCTACTTGCCCTACAAGAACCAGCCCTTCGGCTCAGCTGCAGAAGTCGCTGGATTTCAGGACTCCTAAAAGTCAACTCTACGTATAGCCAGGCACACCGGAGCGGGCTGTGCAAGTTTATGTACACAACTGCCACCGTCCCTCCCTTCCAGCACTCTCCAGCATTTCAGTTCTCACGTTCTTTAAAAGCATCTCTGCATTTTTTTTTTTTTTTTTTTTTCCGAGAGGGCAGGAAGGGAACGGTGAGAGTTGGGACAAGCAACAAGATGGGAAAATCTACAGAGATTCAACGTCCTGTGCAAAAATCCTACCTGACTGTGTAAACTGACTACTAGAGTACTGGGGGAAGAACTGACCCTCCAAGTTCCCTTTCATTTTTGGGCAAAACCCAAAATCTTTAATCTTCACTGACCCATTCACAGTGGAGCACTAATGGATGTTACACGCTTTGGAGATGTGGAGTAGTGAGTATTTTCGTGTTTTGGCTTTTTGCAGTTGTTAAAGCCTCCTGAGCAGTCCAGCACTTACCGCGGGGAGTGGGTCAGTGTCTGTCTCAGGCTTGAAATCTGAGGCTTGACCACATCCTAGCACCCAGCGTCTTTCCTTCCTCCCATCCACACCCCCTGCCTCCCTCTCTCACAACGCTCCAATGTCTCGGTTCCTCCTGGCCACAGTTAAACCAGAGACACTCGTAGGGAATACTTTAATTGTTCTACCAAGTGCACGGCATCCACGATGCACAAGCAATGGTGGTGATTAATTACCTGTACTTTCCTCCGGGTGCACTGTAGGGGTTTTCCTTGGCCCCCGCTGCTCACCGCTCTTCTCCCCGTTGCTCTCCTCCAGGGTTATAACGGGCTCCTGGCTCTTCATCAGCTGACTCAGCAGAACGGCCAGCACGTTCTGCATATCTCCCTGAGCGCTGGCTGTTTCTGGAGTCGCCTGCTCCTCCGGTAGCTGGGTCTCCGTGGGTGGCTCTTCCACAGCTTCCTCCGCCGCCGCTGCCGCCTGAGACTCGTGCTGCTGCGTGGTGGCTTCTGTCAGCGCGTTGATGGACTGGTTGAGAGCCTCCAGCTGCTGCTGCATCTCTGGGTTGGAGTGCACGTTCAACAGCTGGGCCATCTGTGGGACGCTCAGATCAGTCTGGCTCTGCAGCAAGTTCAGTAGAACAGCTAGCTCGCTCTGATTCAGCTGCTGGGTGATTTCTCCAAGGCCTGCAGGAAACACAAGCGGCATCACAGGGAGGTCAGGCGAAGCTACCTCGCGTCGGTCTGCAAGCGCGACGCTGCACCTACCAATAAACACTTCTCCTCCGCGTCCCCGGGCCGGGGGGAGGCACGGGGGCTCCGGGAGGAGGATTCCGGGGGTAGTTTGCTCAGATTTCCACCATCAGCTTGGCCCCCTCCGGGCTGCGCTCAGCTCCGAGCGGCACTGCAGCAGCCCCCCGTGGTACCGCGCACACACTGCACTCGCCCAAGGCTACAGCCGGGAACCGCTCTGTTAGCCACGGAGGGAGGGTTTTTTCGCCACCCCCTCGAACCCAACCGCTGGTGATTTCGGCCCAGCTGAGCCAAACCTCCCCCCCGTCCCCAGTCCCTCGGTTCGCTACGCGAGGGCATCCCAAGAACCAGACTGGTGGACACCACCAGTTACGGCAGCAAGCCTGAGGACGCGGGGTGAAGACTGGAAACCCCCAGCCCGCTTCCGCGGCGATCGGAGCGGCCCGGCCGGCAGCAGCTCAGCCCCTCCCCAAGCTCCCTGCAGCACCCCGGGGATCTAAAGGGCTCCCTCCTGCCCTGGGAAGCAGGTTGCTCGGGATGGAGCTAAGCTGCTGTCGGGGACGGAGGAAGGGTGTGTTCCACCGACGCAGCAAAAGAAATTAGGTCAGGCAGAAGGCAATTCCTTGCTGAAAGCTGGCCTGGGATCACAGAGGACTCCGTCCTGACCTGCGAGTATCCAGGTTAGTCTAAAATACAACCCTTGAGTGGCATCACCTCCCTCTGCACCGTGCTGGAGCAGAGTCTCCCGAGTGACAAGTGACAAGGGTGTCCCTTCACACTGACACTGACCCTGCGAGTCAAACCTTTTGGGAAGAAGGGTGCAAAGGTCTGGTTTTAGAAGCTTCAAATTAAGCTCCTCTTGGCTGGTAGGCAGCTAAGAATGCGATGCTCACTTTTCTCAGCCGTTTGTTAATCCAACCACCACCTTTTGTCCATCTGCCATGTTTCACTGAACACATGGATTGTGCGTTCCCTGGAGCAAGAACTGTCTTCCTTGTTACTCGTCAGTACAACGTTTGACGCAAAGGAAGCTTTAGCCCGTAGCTGGGGTTTTATAAGGCTTCTACAGAGCAATCAGCATGGTCTGGGCAGCTTTGTGTATCTCTACATTCCCAGGAACCAAAACATCTCCCCTCCAACTATTTTCTAGACACAGGAAGGTCGGTCAGTTTTGGAAACGGTGTACAAATCCTGGCCCTGTAAGACTTTGTGACCAACTGATCTTTTCTGCAACAAGCAAAGTGCAAGAACGTACACTTGCCCACCAGCCTGTTACATCCCATGCCTAATCTTTATATAATTTGATCAACAAGATCAAGCTTCAGCTCATTTACACACCCTTTACATGGCTGCACCTTCCAGCCTATTATCTGTTACTTCGCTGGCTCAAGTGACTCAGTGACTGCTTTCATTATCCTCTGTGAAAGCACACTTCCGAACCAATAATATTAACTCATGGAACAAATTCACAGTCAGCTCATCAGTGACTTTTGAAGAGTAGCCAGAACACTCTGCAGCCGACAGTTTTCACATCAGAGGGGAAAAAAAAAAAAAAAAAAAAAAAAAGGAAAAAAGTCAAGATAGGAAGATTCTAGAATGCTTTTTCTGTAGAAATAAAGGTGAAAGAACCAGACTGGCTTGAAAATAGACATAAGCCTCCCACACCCAGACCAGAGAAGGTGGGGAGGTAACACATCAGGAGGAGCCTCTTACACCCCAGATGAGGCACTGACCTACTGCATCTCCAGCACCAGACTCTGTTTTGAGCTGGGCAGGCTGTGGGTGCACAGGACTGCTGTTGTTTTTGACAGGGTCTGTGCTTGTAACAGAGGTAGTTTCTTTCCGAGAAACTTTTGATAACGGTGGCTCCTCCACTGCAATCCCGCTTTGCCGCTGCCGTCGGCGTTTCTTGCTCCACAGCTCGTGGCAATCCTGCCAGTGAGGAAGGCTAGAAGAGAACAACACTGAGCAGTTAGGAAACAGGGAAAGAAAACCAATTTAATCCTCAAAGACCACAGAAAGTTATTAGCGCCGTTAGAGAAGCAGAGATGTTCCTCTGACTGAAACCATACTATTAAACCAAGAAGGGGCAAATCCTAGAACCAGGCTGCAGGCAAATCATTGAATTTGCACTGGGATCTCACCCCTGGACGGACTGGGGTTAGCTGCAATGCACACAAGCCCAGCTGAACGCAATTCAGCCAAGCTCTGAGAGTCCAGTGGCTTTAAGAAAGCAGCTGCCTTCAGTAACTCTGAAGGAAAGGGGACTCTCAAAAGCTGCCGCCACACTTGCACGCAAAGCGGCTTGAGTGGAGTTTTACAGGCTGCTTGACTGGAGTGGGAGAAGAGAGCTGCAGTGTGATGCTGCTCAACAGCCACTCCAAGTCAATTAAGAAGGAGCATAAATGAGTCCTTCGTGGCACAGAGCACAGGGATATGCTACATGCTACTCTTGCACATCTTCCAACAGGGTTTTAGAGCACCTTACAAGCATTAAGCTGAGCCTTATAAAACCAGCCTGTTATCAGGCAGAAAACCAACAGCACAGGAAGAGCTATTTGCTCAGCTACATGACAAAACGCAAGGGCAGAGTTGAGAAAACCACCCAGAAATCCTAACTTAATTCTGACTGAAAAAAAAAACAAAGCCAAGCCAGTGGCTCCTTCCCAAAGCTCATCAGCAGAGAGCCCGCTGCAGTGGAGGATGCCAGCTGGGACTTACTCTGGAGGTGCCATTTTGCTGAGATCAACATCCTTAAGGAAGTCACTCTGCAAAGCCTGTTCTGCTGTGCAGCGCTTGCCAGGGTCTAGCGTCAGCATGTGGTCCAGCAGGTCGAGAGCAGACGAAGGAATGCTGCGCAGAGAGTTGGAAATATGGCTGGGTTAAGGCCTTGCTCTGAACAGGGGAGAGCCCGCTCTCAGAGACACACCTCAGGCCTAAGAGAAATCCCCACAGTCAAAACTTGTTACTATGTGATGCAGCAGCTCAGACATCAACAGAGCAGGCATCAGGTATGTGGTATTTTCAGCCTAATTTTTGCCATTTATGAAGAGCAACTCTGCTACAAATCCCACAAGATTATCACACAATTATACTCTCCCCCCGGAGAGCACATCTCTGAAGTCAGACAGCCTCTGCACCGTGAGAAAGCCACACTGCCAAGTGGGCTTTCTAGGTGCAGACCCTAGCTAGAGGTGTCACGAGCGTGCAGAGGCAGGGATCCCCTCCAGCAGGCACCTGTGGCAGATCAGATATTTAGAAAGGGGACAGTGACCCCACATTCCAGCCTTCCCCAGATGGGAGAAGGCCTCCTGGAGGGGGCTGCCTGAGGCCAGAAGGGGAAAGCACTGCTTCATCTACCGGGTAGACCAAAGCCAAAGGCTAGCAGATGAGTGGCACAACATAACAGAGGACCATTACCCCCACGCGGCCACTCGTCCTCTAACAAAACTCACAAGGAGAACTCCTCACGCAGGCGCCTTCGGTATTGCTTCTTCGGTTTCATAGTGTTGAAGTAGGGCAACTTGATGACATCCGGCCACACCGCTGGACAGGGGCTCCCACAGAGCCGGCTGAGAACCAGAAAAGCAGAGAAGGCTCAGCAGGCGGAACGCAGCAAGGGGGAGAAGAGTCACCAGCCTGAAGGAAAAAGTCTCCTTTCCGAGCAACTTACTGTACCAGTAACCTAGGTCTGGGCACGCTTCAGTAAAGATTAGGGAACACTCGGGTTAGAAAGGAGGTAGGAGGAAGACGAAAAATGCTTACTTTGAGTTTAGAAGCCATCCAACACAATGGATTTTCAGTGCGAGATGTAATTTAGGTTCATGATTTCTGCACTCAACTAACCACAGCAAAGTTTACTGAGGGTGCATACATTAGCAGCCACGCACGTGACGGTAGGCATGGACACCTGAATGCCTAACTATTCCCATCTGCAGTTACAGTCGTTTGCTGGTCCCATTTTCCAGGCAGATTAGAGAAAGAGGGCTCTTCTAACACAGAGACTGTGTGCATGAGCAGTTTCTGCAGTACCTCTTCTCATAGGCATGCATGTGCAATGCTTTACCTGATTAATTCAAGCTGAGCCAGTTCCAGATTGGCTTGAAAAATAGGCTTCTTTGTAAACAGTTCCCCGAGGATACAGCTGGAAAGAGGAAAAGCAAGAGGTCATGACAGCAAACCCTTGGGATGATCGTTTGAACACTGCAGCATTTCTGTTCAGGAGCAGGTTTGCCTGAGGAGAGTTATTTGCATCAGGGCTTGTAGTTGAGAACTGACAAACTAACCTATGTGTACAGAGTCACCAATTCTACGCAGCTGGGAAATACCATTCACTAGTAGGCTGGTTAACATGTCACAGGCTTCACGCTTTAACTCTTTGCAGGGAGAGGAGGATGTGTCAATAGCATGACAAGAAAAACAGCCAGGCAGCTCATTTGCCTCCAGATCCAGCCCATTTATCTTTTCAACTTCACTGAGGGATATCTGCTGGCCCAAATTATCCTCAGCTGCCAGCAGCTTTTTGTTTGTCATTGCCAAGCACAGGATACAGCCTTGTACACACAATGTTTGTACACGCACACATTTGTCCAGCTGGAAGGGAAAGAAGAGAAGGAGGGAGGGGACAGCTCTGACTCATTCAGTCCTTAACATCTACCCTTAAGCCTTTTGACAGGAATAACAATCAGTGTCAAATATAGCTGTGGGCCAATACAGGCACCTGTCTGCTGGAACTGGGCTACCCCACTCATCTGACACAGGACACGCAACAGCAACCGGACCTCACGGCCGGAGTTTCCAGAGGTAATTATCAGGGCCTGACTGTCACAAACCTTTGCTGTTTGTGTACTAAACTCTCCTGAAAGTTTACCTGCGAATATTGCAACGGGAAGCACGCATTTTGGGAAACCCAGGCCCACTTCTGAACGCTGAATGCTCGAGAGTCTGGTTCTGAATTGCTTGGCAAAGCTTCCATCTTTGTGGCTCAACTGCCCAGACTCCTCCTGTTCATGGGACTCCCTACACTGCTAGAAACCCGAAACGTCTACTTCAAAATGTTTCTAGATTTAACTGAAGAAATAAGGTGACCAACAGAGCAACCTGAAGAGGTTACAGAAAAACTCTCTATTAGGTCATTAGACCCATACCCTGAAGGTATAACCAGCACAGAGTAAGCTCACCACCCCTTCTGATCTTTGTGGCACATCATTATCAAAGGTTGGTTGGTCTGGTTTTTAAACAGCAAGGGTGCCTTTTATGCTCTCACATGTTAATACCAATAGAAGTCTCGTTCTAGGAGTGTTTACTAAATGGTATAGCTTTCGTTAGGTGACACACACTTATTTCCCCAAAGCACAGAATTTTGAAAGTATTCATAGACTATCACAACTCGCTTTGCCTAGCTGGAGCAGCTTCAGGAAATAGCACGACTTAAAGGCTACCTTCCACTAGAACTATTCGGTTCATGTGCTGATTGATATTCACAGCCCAAACAGGACAAAAGATACAAACCAGGCACTTACCCACAGCTCCACACGTCTATGGCTGGTGTGTAACGCTCCTCACCTAGCAGCAATTCTGGAGGTCGATACCACAATGTAATGACTTTATTTGTGTATGGACGGCTGGAACGCAAGAAACAAACACAAACTGATGACAAGAGCCACAAAGCCCTTAACAAACGGTAATTTGAGCTTTCAAATGGCAGAGTTGGGCACGTAAGTAGAAGCAGGGGGCTTTCAGGTGCCTAGAATGCCACAGCACCTGCCCAAGTTAAATAAAGCCGATGGGACGTCACAGATTTTCCAGGTCTGCCTGCGTGCACAAGACAGTTAGTTGTAGGTACCCAAGACTGAACAATTCTGACCTGCAACAGGCAGCAACGGGCTGCTGTGACTGAATAGTGACTGAGCACAGAGCAAAACGTGGCCTATGGCAGGTCCATGGCAGGCAGAGAAGATGTTTTGGTTCCTTATCAGCTGGTTTGTCTAACAAAGGGCTATTAATACCAGCCAGGAGTATGTGTTCTCCAAGAGCTGGTGCTGCATTAAACCACTTAGAGTAGAAATAGTTTCTCAGGCAATGCCAGGACTTCCATGTGAAGGGACTATGTGGATACTAAGAAGGAAGGAGCTCATCCCACCTATGTAAGCCATGTCCCCCCTTCCTCCATCCCACTATGCCTCACCTCTCCTCTGAGCTGTAGAGTCGGGCGAGTCCAAAATCTGCAAGTTTGATTTGCCCACTGAAAGACAAAAAACACTCACTGGTTTGAATCCCAGCTGGGCTCCCACTCTGCAAGCAGTGAAAGGTAAGGAAATCCCCCCATGTAGTAGAAAGGCCTAACAAAGCAATGTTTGCTGCAGTTACTTTTGGATATGCCAGACTTAATTTTCCAGATCCTATTCAACGCTCCAAAGAAATGAAAAGAAAAAAAAAAAAGGCAATAATTCAGTCCCATCTCTATCACAAACCCTCCCCAAAAGGCCAATGTCTCAGAGAAATTCTTTAGATTTATATCCAGACACATGGATGCAATTATGCGCAATATTATTCTCATAAGCTCAAAGTTTTCTGATGGATATCCAGATAAAGACTTGAGAACTAATAGCTAATGAATAATTGTTATGCATTCTGTGATAAACTATGTTACTGCCAAACACTGCTATCTGTAGAAGAGAGAGCATTCACGAAGAACTGCTACTTCCTACCTTAACCCTCAACGGTTTCTCTGCATACAAGCACTTCCAATAAACAGTATTTTTGCCAAAATACCATGGAGACCAAGTGTACACAGAGACCCATTTACTTCAAGTCAACATGAAAGAAAGTTAACTGTAAGGAGCTACAAAACAGCGAGCAGAGGGCCTCACGTGGAGAGACTGCTAGCAACCTCAAGTTAAATAGGAGGTTGTTGGGGCTGCTGACCCGTGCAGCAGGAGCTGTGTTCTCAGCCAGCAGCAGCACCCAGGAAAGCCACTGCTTAATTACAACCCTTCGTCACACCCCGGATGGAAACATGCAGGGCTGCTGTGTGCCTACGGGGGATCAACACCTCCTGTTCCCCAGCATACTCAAGGTGAAGACAACTGTGTGCTCTCAGCTGACCCAGGGAGAGCAAGGGGAAGAGCTTGGACAGAATTGTATCTACTCCCAGGTTACCTGTTGTTCAGTAAGATGTTGGAGCACTTAATATCTCTATGAAGGAAATTCTTTTTGTGACAATAATCCAGACCCTCCATTAACTGTTTCATGAAAGACTTGATATGGTCCTCTGAGAAATGTACCAAGCCAGATTCTAGCAGCCCCATTAGGTCATGGTCCATGTACTCAAACACAAGGTAAAAGGCACCTGGTATAACAAAGAGAGAAATGATTTAAGAGAGGAGAGACAAAGAAAAAGGAGGAATGAAAGGAGATTCAACTGTTGAAATATTCTTTTACGTGCACTGTTGAGTGTGTTCTGTTGGTGTTTTCCCTAATGCAGCCTTGTGATATTTAGGGCTTACTGGGCATCCCAGAAGATTTTTTTTTTTCCTCAAGGGGAAGAGAAAACCCCAAATCATTTAAGTAGCCCCTCTAGTGCATCAAGCTGACATCTGAAATCAAAATATGCCCCCAAAATAAAGTCCTTTGGAATCCTGGTCACGTTTACCTATCTGTTTTTTCTTTCAAGCTAGTTTGAAGAGACTACTGCTATGCATGGCTTGAACTGACATTTGTGTTGTTCCATTCTCTCTCACAGAAGAAAAGGCCCCAAACAAAAGCAAGTAACCCTGGAGAGGTTTGCCTCCCCCTATTTTTTTTTTTTTTTTTTTAAAGGACATCTCTTCTGTGACTCTACAGAAATGCAATACAACCTTTGAAGTCCATGTCTACCTCTGCCCTGCAGTGTGACAAATCATTTTAACTGGAATCTATCCTTTGATGTAAGGCCAAATCCGGATGCCAAACTTGCTGGAGCTATCTATCAAGGAGGAATGCAAAAAAAGAAGATCTACACCAGAGTTTAGATTTTTAGTTTCACACTAAGAATAAACAAATGGAGTTGCATCACCCCCTTGGCTAAACAAAACCACACCCTGCAGCAAACGCTACCTTTGTCCTTCTTGAAATCCAGTGCATCTTGTTTGTCCGTGACAATTTCCTTCATGTTAACAACACTGCGGTGGATCAGCTGCCGAAGGATTTTGATCTCGCGGATGGCCGTGATGGGGAAGCCCTCTTTTTCGTTGTCCAGTCGCACCTTCTTGAGAGCCACCAGTTCACCTGCCAGAACGAGCCAGCGTCAAAGCCCCTGCACACATCACTGCCAACAATTCTGTGGATTTCCAGGGGGAAGCTGAAAGGAGCTGTGAGCACAGCCAACCTCCACCGAGGCAGGGCAGAGCCAGCTTTAGTTACCACCCTGCTCATTTTTGTTGAATCACTCTGTCAGAAGTTATCACACCAACAACTCATGACAGGTGACACCAGTGCTCCTAATCTGCTTCAGCAGAAAGTCACACAGGTGAACACAAACTTACCCTGGAATCCACTCCAGTCCCGTTCACCAGCTCTGCTACAATAAAGTCTGACAAAGGGACACTTAAAAAGCAGGGGTTCAGCTGGCATCTGCAGCTGCCATAGCTGCACCCCCCCCAACCCTCTGACCACACGTCAAACCGTACGCCCAGGGCACACGACTTCACAAGCAGAGGGGGCAGCAGGGCACTAACTCACAGTTTGTATTTCAGAACTTCTGTTCTTTTGCCCCTTTGGAGAACACCTGATGCAAGTGTTTACACCAGGGCAGGAACCATTTCTAGTTCTACAGGTATTCGTCATTAACCATCAACACCACTAAGGCTGGAATGGGTTTTAAGCACACCCACAATAACAAGGCCTTAAAGAACTGGAGTCAGCCTGAAGCCACCTGGCATCCTTACCTGTATCTTTGTCCTTGGCTTTGTACACCTGCCCATATGTCCCTTCTCCAATAATCCCAATGATATCAAACTTGTCCACGCAACGCTTCCCCCAGTCGCTCTCCGTCTGCCTCCTTTCCCCATACCGAGGACAACAGATTCTGAAAGAGGGAAGAGGACTGCTGGGCACCCGAGTGCTCCACCTCACCCACCACCCCGCAAACAAATGCCCACTTGACTGTTTTAAGCTGTACCCTAAAAACAAAAAGCAAAGGTCAGGCACCCTGTCTTTACACTCCTAGCAAGCGAGCGTTCAGTGGAGTGTAATGAATTATGCTATATAATCTCAGCTACTCCAGATACAGGCACTGCTATACAGGAATATTATCCTTCTATTTCATTCAGATACTAAAAGAACACTCTCACTATCAGATCTTCTCACTTTAGTTATGCATTAATCAGCTACATATGGCTAACGAGCAATACACTGTTCCTCCTGGGGAAATAAGTAGCACAAAGCGTGGGGAAGACAAGCAAAATGGATATTATGTCATCTCATTTCCACACACTTTGAGGTGGCAGAAGCATCTTGCTATAGCCTACCTGGGGCACACAGTCAGCTACACAGACTTTGAACAAATATCTCATTACATACCTTTACCTGAGAGTAGCTTGAAGGAGAACCAAACCAGTATCTTTAAAAAATACCAAAGAATTATGCTAAAGTAAGACAAAAATCAGTGTTTGGAATCTTGTGCAGAAACACTGGACGTTTGATTTTTATTTAAAACAAAGTGCAGCTAGCACTCTGTGTACAAAACGCCAAGGGCGCTTCCTCCCCTGACAGCAGCGTACATTTTGGTATCAGGGGAAGTTGTATATACCACGCAACGTGAGCAATACCTCAGTCGTGCATGAAGAAAAGGTGTGTGTCTCCTATTTGGAATAACCAATTCCTAGAAGCACCCACGAGCCTTATATAGGGATGCTCATCAGGAGGTTTCCTTGGCCTGCAGGCTACAGGCTCAATCAAAAGATGAGAGAGCTTTCAGGGCAGATGTGGCTGGAGATGGAATATGACACACTCCAGCAATTTCTACCCTTGAAAGGGCCAAAGGGGAAGACAACAGAATCTGTCACAGCTTCAGGGCAACGCCTGAACCGTAGTCTCCATTGGGTGCACAATTTACACAACCTCCTCTTCTTCCCAAACTGCTGTACTGTTAGTTCTCAAATAGATGGGGCAAGTGGCCTTCAGCTGTCACTGGCCCATATATGAAACAACCCACAGGAAATAGTTAATATACCATAAGAAAAAACAGAAATATGAACTTGTTTTCCCCGCATTTCACTTCCTTCAATAAAGACAGCACTCAGACGAGTCTGGGGACAAAAGAATTTTGATACAACTGAACTAAGTCTGGCTAAAGATTTATAAGTAAGCGCAAGTTAAGTGTTCTCCCCATCCAATAAACGGTGGGGAGGCTGCCGAGAGCTGGCAAAGCAGCTGCCAAATTCAATTTCAAAAATGATTGCCCTTTCAACAGCGCCGTCTCCACACAGCTCACAGGGCTCTTCCAGGAGCGCTGCGGCATACACCGAGACTCACAGCTCTGGAAACCTCGACTGACACCTGTGCGAAGAAACAGAAAACCTAACAACTCAAAAAAGCCAAAAGAAAAGAAAGCCAGGCTTACTTTGGTCTCTTTTTGAACGGTTGCTGAGGTGGTGTGGCTGCCTTTGGTTCCGGGGAGTCGGGAGGAGACGGGTCCCCTCCAGGGAGCTCTGGAGGGAGCGGGAGGTCCGTGAGTAAGTGTCGTGGTCTCTGCTCTCTATCTTTCTTCACAGGTTTTGGAGGAAGAATCTCTTTTGGACTAAACTCCGAAAAGTTAATACAATACAGAAGTCAGACTTCACAGCCAATTAACAAACAAAAAAGCTTACTATAGGACAACAGCTCTCTATTCGAGAGCATAAAGTTATAAGCCCGTGTTTAAGTGCCAAAATTAGCAGAGGCAAGTATAAAACAAAACCGCTTTAAATTTTACAATGATAATACATCAGGAGAGAAAAGTGTTAGGTTTTAACTGCTGTCTTCAAATAAACACACAGCTCTCTGCAACTAGAACTTGCTCCATTTGCATAAATGAGTAGTTATTCTGAGTTTCCTGTAAGACAGCTCAGGCTATCAGCCAGCACCCACTTTCTGACCCTCACTTCCTCTATTTAGTCCATTTATTGTAATGAAGTTAAATGCATGACTTGTTAGGGACCACTATAAATATGAACCCAAAATTAAATCTCTCTACATAAGTAACTTTTAACTTCTTAGCAAGGACTGAAACGTAGCACTCTAACTTGTGATAATTGCTGAGAAAACAGAAGTTGACCTTTTTTTTTTTTTTTAAAAATCAAATTACCAGTGACATCAGAATATTGGTTTAGACTGGCAAGAGTCTCATAAGCAGAATCTAATTTCTCCCTCATGTATGCAGAGGGGAGAATTCCTGGGTCTGAACAGTCACAAATTCTTCTCCGCGCAAATCTCCGCTTCACCAGGAAAAGAAAAAGATTAAGAGATACGAACAACCTTTCAAGGTTCACTTTTAGGGCAGCCAGCAGGAGATTTGCTGTTTGTCAGCATCACCAGGTCTAACGCTTCAGCACAGAGAACTCCGCATAAATGAAGTGATGAAAATAGGTCATTTTCCCGATTTTTTTTTTTTTTTTAAGACACTGCCTAATCTGCAGGGCAATCTCTTGTGAAATATAGTTAAGAAACAAGCAAGGGAATGGAGGATGCTATCCTGGCCCTGAGCTCTGACATCTGTAAGAGCCAGGGGAGCAATGTTATCCCACTGCTGAGGAGTCAGCAGGCGGCTGCAGAACTAAGCACACGTCACAGCAGCCCCGACCTCCGGAGGGAACCGCTGACGGGCGCTCCTGCCAGTGGCACGGATCCTAGAAATGCCAGAGGCCGGAGAGCTGTGTGCGCTCACCCCCCATTAACTGCAAATCCTTAATGTGCAGAGTGACACCCAGCCGGGTCACTTCGCCGAGGTGAATCCACGGTAAACCTCCAAAGAGGTTTTTCAAAGCTGGATCTAGACAGCCAGGGCCCCCCCGACCGCACGCAGGAGGCGAGAGACTTTGTTCCAACAGAGCAGATCAACGAGGCTTTGCTTTCTTTACGGCTTTCATACGTGTATTTGAAGCACTGATCTAATGGCCAGTTCTTACAGGCTGAACGTTCACCGTAACAAAAAAGCAGCTGTTTGACTTTGTGTTTAATCCACTTCTAACTGGCAATTAATTTGTTCCTGATAGTATTTAAATATCTAATATATATGCTGAGCTTGGGCCCTCTGACCTTGGCAAAAAGATTCAGCCTTTTTCCAGACACATCAAAAGACAATTTATTTGCCAGAGTCCCTGGGAAGGACGAGGGTGTGTTTGTAGGTTTAACCTGGGTGCCTGGCCTTCCAGGGGTCCTTTCTCTCCCTCTTACCAACGAGTTACCATTTCCTTGCTGACCCACTGTTATCCATGCCTAGTTATGTACAGCTTAGTTAATCGATCTGCGTATCAGCACTAGTGCTACTGGATGGCTACTCTAACTTTAATCACCCCCAGAACATTTGGACAATTCCACCAGGCATTTCTTTCAAAGTGAGGAAGTCAAACAGACCCTTCAGAGTTGCCCAAGCAGAAAAATGACAAAGTGTGAACGTCAACTGCCTAACAACGACTCCTAGGAGCTACCTCCCTCCTTCCCCTCCCCTGGAATAGCTGGAATGCGATCCGTCAGGTCTGCGTTTTTAACTGTTAGTGCTATGAACAGTCAACCAGATGCTCCCAGGAACCTACGCCACTTCCGAGCGCAACACCGAACACGTACAAAGCTTGTACCACTCGCTTCTAAACAGCTTTTCCTCTCCTCCTGCTAGGTGAGGTGACCCACGGTGCACCCCGACTGCTGTGAAGTCTAAAAGCGTTACAGACAGATTATAAATCCTGAGAGCTCGGCAAGCATCAAGAAAGGTTAAAGAGCCTCTCATCGAATGAGGCATTTTTGTACTTGGGCACTTCGAAGCACATTTCCAAACCCTACTCTTTCCACGGTCTCAGAGCTGGAGCATTCTCCCAGTCTCAGGGCATGAAAACAAAAAGTTAATCCAAAAAAAGTTTTGTTCATAAACACGAAGGCAGTTGATTATGAGTGAGCTTCTGTACAGTCAGTGCCATATGCAACTGCCACTAGCCTCAGCAAAATGAAGCAGGATTTCCCACCCTTTTATAGGGAAAAAGTAAATCTATTTACTAAGCTTAGCAACCAGCTGTACTATCACCCCCGTTCCTAACTAAGTTCATAGTGATGGCAGAGATAAAACACACTTTTACAAAACTAAGTCACACCTGGGTGGTAAAAAAAGGAACTCTAGGTGTGAACGACTGAAAAAATAAAATACAGTACTTGCAGGACAATTTCTGTGTTTGGAAATAAGGGATCAGAGCAGCAAAATCTTGCTTAGATTGGCATTTGAGTTGAGAAAAATCTGCAATCTGTTGAAAGCTACTGCTTATCACAGACACATTTAAACTAAATAGGTATTTGCTGAACAGCATTACAGAGCTTACGAAGGGCAACATAAACATGCACAAGCCTAACTTTTATGTTGATCGCAGTGACAACATTACGCTAATTTACATAGATACCAGGCCAAACCATGAAAATCAATTAAATGAATTGGAGTATGTAACACACTGTGTTCACTTAAACCACGGGGTAATTATATCAAGTCATAACTATCGTGTAACACACTAGTCATTAAAAAAACATGCTTTACTAACCAATGAGATACCTAGCACATCTTTAGCGATGCTTGGAGAGATACAGAAGTTGTTAGGGAACTACAGGCTAAGCAGATCAAGTAGAAAAAAAAAAAAATGTATCTGTGATGACCTTATGTCAACAGCCCTACAACATACTAACAGCTACAAAAGGGAAAAAAAATTCTTTTTCTTCTTCATCTCCATTTTGGATATTCTGTTCCTTTCCCTTCTTCCCCCCCACCAAAAGAAAATCCCACAGTAAGATTGTTCAGACAGTTCGCATTAGAAGCCAAGACCACTACCAGCCAAACCCAGAGCATCGAGAGCTACAATTACAGGACAGAATTAAGTCTGCATGTTTTGATTAGAAATTATAGAAAATGGAAAGTTGAAGTAGGTGTGGTTTCACTCTTTCATTTTCAAACTGTTTGGAACAAACAATACCTACTTCTTAAGCAATAAGAATTGGATTTATTATTCAATAATTAAGACAATACTTAAGTTAAACCAATGTCATTTTTTTATATATAGCCATGGCCAGCATGGTTGATGAATTTGGAACAGAAATAATTCTGGTTTGTGTTCTTGTATTGGAACTGTTAAGATCTTTCCTGTTCCTTGAGTACAGATTTTGGAGGAATTAAACAAAAAAAGCAATTTCCAAATAAGCCGGTGCAAATGGCTGCAACACAAAGGGATGCATAATTCCAGATCCATCTTTCATTACTGTAATAAATATGAACAAAGAGCGATGCGAAACTTTTACTAACCAGCATTAGAACCACAGCTAAACCTCTCTTTCTCACTGAGGTAAGATGTAACTACCTGCACAGGATCATAAAACTCTCCACATAAACCTGACAAGGCCAAAACCAGGAATGGCTGTGCAGTAATGCATTTATACCAGCGGCATAGTCCTCGGTGTGCTCTGCAGGATAAGCTAGTAACTACCAAACTAACCGAAAGAACCCGGTTATCTCAATGTTTTGTTTTTAAATGCAAATGGGATGCTCTTGTGTGACCTTACCTATCCAAGTCATCTTCCCCAACTAAAATAGGGGGGAGCGGAAGCGGAGGCAACGTTGAAGTTTTCAGGTGTGGGATAGCAGCCGTCACAGACACTTGTGTTTTTGTAGCGACTTGGACAGAGGACTGAGAGTTCACCTGAGAGGATAAAGTAGACGTCCTTGGGTGGGAAGAAGATGGCAAAGACGTTGGGGCTGAAGTAGGGACCTGAACGGGAGTCAGTTGGGATGGTGGCAAAGGTGGAACAGCAGGTGACGGAGGCAAAGGCGGCAACGGTGGAGTTGGAGGTGGTGGTGTGGTTGTCGGCAGAGGTGGAGGAGGTGATTTTATTGAGGGTAGTGGGGGTGGAATCTCCTTCTCTGCTGTGTCTGTCTCTTTTGGAGATAGGAGGTCCTCTACCACTGCTACAGGCTTCAAGTCTTTTGTTCCCGTCTGTTTTGAATCTCTAACTGGAACAGGATGTTTCCTCTCAGAGTTCTCCTCTGCCTTGATTTTTGTTGTCTCTGCAGGGGCTTTAGTCTCTGCATTCGTATACAGTAAATTAACTAATTCGGTATCTGAAGATGATTTTTCAGATTTAACAGTTTTGATGGCCTTTTTAGATTCTGTTCCAGACTCCTTAAGTTCAGCTAAGCTGTTCTCCTTTCGAGACAGGAAAACAGGCGAGCCCTTTGCCTCCTTCCCATCCACCTTGGCTGCAGCTGCTGCCGCTGCCGCTCGCTCCTTTTTCTTCCTGCTGAGTTCTGCCCCCAGACTGGAGTTCAGTGGTAGCCTTGTCGGTGATATACTGGAATGGCGACTGCGTGACCCAGACCTCTGCTTTTTACTGTGAGATGACGAGTGTCTTGAATACCCAGGACTTCGGCTTCGGGACTTCACAGACTTCCTGTGGAGAGAACAGGGAGGAGATAAATGAAACGAAGCATCTCAACCTCTGAGCTACTCACCAACATCAACAGCTCTCTCTGATAATAGTTTGAGTCCATTATTTGTCAACTAAGTTCAGAGAGTCTGTAATACCTGTCAGGAGAGACTAAAGCTACTGAAACGAGTTTCTTGACTAAGTACAAGTGTCCGGTCATCGTCCAGCCTTCCAGTGTCAGGACTACCCTCACAATCATACTGTTAAGACAGAAACGAAGGATCAAGATTGGACAAGCCTCAAGGTAAAGATGAGATCACAGATGCACACACTCAACAGAAGACTTCAGCTGAGAGGATGAGCTGGCAGTTTACAAATCTTTCACAGTAATTATGTACAACTTTAAAGGAAACAACGGATAAAATATGGCTGTCCTCATGGGAATGCCGCCTCAGGAAACATCCCACTTCAAGCTGATTTTTCCCCTGGTTCCTTTACTATCATCAGAGCTCAAATTTGCATATTGTGATTCAGGAGAAGGAAAAAAAAAAAAAACAAAACAAAACAAACCCAAACCAAACCAAAAAAAAACCCCAAAAAACAACAAACCCACCCAGGAATTTTAATTCTGTTTCAGGCTTGTCCAGAGGGTCTCAGACTTCGTCTACAACAAATGGGCTCTAAATTAGGTATATATGCAAAAATAGAAAACCACACTGAAAATCTTTGTTGTGATACAAGCAACAAGCAAGGCAGGAAGCACCTCACACTGTCAGGGTACGCATGGCAAGCGCAGGGCAAACCTAGTCAGAAGGCAGCAGTAACCACAAGGTCACTGGAGACTGGTGTGGAAACAAGATTAAAAAATAAAATGGAACTGGTACATCAAAATAACCGACAAGACGGAATTGTTTCATCCACTTGAGGAGGAAGTAGGACTTTGCAGGTTGAGACAGCATACTTTAACTGTATGTGTGGTAGGCTCTGATGGGTTCAGAAGCTGTGTGAGCCAAGAGGAAAATGAGGAAAATTTTGAGATTGGATCCGATGAATACTATAAGAGAGGCTAAGGTCAAAGTTTATTTTTACTCCATGATTTATTACACAGAACATGTCTAGTTTTGAAAATATGGGATTCTCTCAAAACAGTTCCACAGTAGTTATAAAAACACCTAATAGCAAGCAGGTTTAAACACAGTAGATGCTGGCTCACTTGTAACCATACTCAGAATGTAATTAACAAGGTCTAAACCATTCACAGCGCTCCACAAGTTAATATCATCCTGAGCCAACAAACTTTTGGAAAATAAACTGAAGAACTGAGACGGACTAATGCAAAGTTCCTCGCTAGACACCACCAGCACCTTCAAGGGTGGACAGAGCTGTGACTGCACGGGAGGCGAAGGGTCTCGCTGCACGGCGGCGTGGAGTTTACCTGAACCCTCTTCCCTTGCTATTCCAAGCACAAGCATCCTGCCCTCGCACTAGTACAACCCCAAACCTTGAGCTAACAGTGGTCAAAGAACGCTACGGCTGTAGGTAGTTCTTACCTTGAGACTTGTCAAATAAATATACAACCAGAAGGAGAAAAAGTGGCATCTGAAGTTGCTCAGCTATTTTTCTCTTCAACACAGCATTCTGTGATGGGAATGCCGCTTCAGGATTGTCTCTTTTTCCGAGGTTTCTGCTTACTGAATTAACGGTCTCGGACGCCGTTTATCACTTGGATAGCAGTTCACCTGCTGCATCCCAGCGCAGAGTTGCCAGAAGCTGAAAAAGCTGTTACGTTTTCACTACGCTCAAAGACATTTGCAGGCTAAGGAAAACATTCCTAATGAATTCTGTAGGATGTAGTTTACTGCAACCACAAATAGTTTTGGGGTTGGCATTCCCTATTACAATTCTTTCAGGATAGATTGTTTAAGATGCTGCAATACTCAGTTTCCTGCTCCCTGTCTCCCATCCTTCCCCAGGATTAACTCCCAACAGTTACTCCAATGCAACTGGGTGCAGAGCAACATTCTCAACAAGATCACCCAGGAGATCTGATTGAAAGTAAACTTCTCCAAAAGTCCAATTTTACCTTACTTTTAATAGTGCAGCCACCGAGGACACCTGCATGGACACAAGCAAAGGTAAGGTAATGCTGGAGGAAGTGCCGGGGCACACAGATGGGACCCCCTTGCACAAGGGCTGCTGCAGAAGAAGCTGCACCGCAGAACCAGCGCTTCCAAGGGCTGGGGATGACTCCCTGACCTTCCACCAGCAAATATACGTGCTCCTCTGATCCACCAGGAATGAATTCACTTACTCCCCCCCCAGTAGTCTTCCCCGCTCCACAGGCAGCACTCACGCTTTTTCTCTTCGGTTGTCTAATGATAATTACCTACAGTTATTATACAAAGAGCTGCTGTTTCTAAGCCTGTTTTCCAGCTTGGTGTTTATGGCTTCTTTGTCAGACGTGAAAAAGGCACCGCATCCAGAAGCTTGTCTGCTTTCCCAGCTCTATCAACACAACCAGTAACAGACCACGCTACAGCAAACCCTATCTCCTATCACTAGGCCATCAACAGCCCCAACACCACTGCAGCGCTTGCTGAGGGGCCATCTTCCACAGCAACACTTGCTTTTAGCACTGCTGGATATCTCAAAAAAGATGCAATAAGACAGAAGATGCACAGGCAGATTTTGCTTTCTGAAAACACTCTTTCTGTTCTCCAGAATGATCTTTCCATGGCTTTACCTGCCATCAGTTAGTTAGCACTTTTACTCCCCTTTCACACTTAACGTATATTAAGGCAACTCTCTACACCTTGCTTACATTGCTGAGATTATCAGAGATGGGTGGGGGCAATTCAGGCTCACAGGCAGTTCTTTTTCTGGATAAAAATGCTCTGGGGTTAAAAAATACCTTGTCTCTAGCACTGGAAACTGGAAATACAAGATACTAACCGTGATGACTGAACTAACACAAAGAAGTCAGAGATGATGGCTCATCTAAAAACTCAAATAAAAAAGCATTATTAAATTAATTTAACTGATACAATCAAGATTAGAACAGTCTTTGGAGGAGGGAATGCTAGAACCCTCCTGACTTCCTCCTGCTGAAAATGACCCCGGCTAATAGTCGTTAGCAGAGGTGACCCTGAATCAGCTGGCAGAACAAAGCCCCACATCTACACACTTCCACATTACCACTATACAAACTCCTAGGAACATCTACAGACGTTAAAATATTTTACCTGCTTCAAGCCACAACAGAAGTTAAGAGTACAGTAGAAACTAGTATCTGGGAAGCCTGACCACATGCCCCGTGCTCGAACTGCTCAGGAAACAAGCTCGAATAGAAGGCCAACGTTTCTTATTTATGAATGCCCAATGACCTTTTGCCGTGGCAAGGATCTGCGTACCAGTGGCCACTACTACAGCACGTGCACACACTCACACTTAGCTGCTATACTTAGCACAGAGCACAACCCACCTTCAGCATGCTGAAGGACTCTGGAATTTCTTTTTCTAGTTTTAGCTGCAATGACAACAGTTGCTATAAGGAATGGCAAGCCACATCTGTTATTTTCCCTACTGACCAAATCATCCTCATTTCCTCATAAATTGAAAGCATGTTGTTTTGCACAGCTATTTGAAATGCAAACATTCTGTAGTTTCTCCAATCACCACAGCACACTGGTGCAGTTTCCTAATGCTGTATTTTGGACGTGGAGATTAAATAAAACACAGAATGCACTAAAAAATCCCCACCTAACCGTATTGTCAGTCAGTGGAAATAACTCCATGTCCTAGAAAAGCCTGTGTTACCTCCTCTGAAGAATTTAAGCCACAGTCAGATGTTCACTGCCTAAGCGAGTGTGCCAGTTAAAGATGTTTTCTCTCCCAACCTGTTCCTGCCCCTCCACAGGAGCCAAAAGAAGAGCTCACATAGTCACTCCCTGGCTACTCTGGTGCAAAGTCAGCTGCCTCCATTTACCCCCTGGTCTGCAGCAATCAACCAAAGCTGGCTACAGTGAAGCTGGCGAGGACAGCTCAGCCCATCCACTCCTTCAGGTGAGCTCCCCAACAGCCATCAGCAGAGGGGCAGCCCCACCTTTGGCTTCTGGAGCAGGCATTTGACCATAAACTTGCACCATGTGCCTCACCGTACAGGCTTGCAAGTTCAGGGAAGCAAAACCAACAATGAATTACAACTTACAATTTGTCTAACATATGGAAAACAACATGAGAGTCCCTCTGTCCTTTTACTAGGATCACTTCAGGTAGATGTTTTCTGAAGGCACAATCCAGATTTTTTGTTTTGCTTTAAAAGAACATCACACCATCAGTAAGTTACCTGCCCAGAAAAGAGAGTAGTAGGTTATCAATTGAAGTCAGAATTCAGAACAAGACAAACGTAAGCACTAAGTAACCTTTGGAATCCATTTTGGTTTGGGGTCTAGCATTTTGCCAGTGAGTCAAAGATGCCCTTAAAAAGTTTCTTACATGGGTATGTAAGTTCAGGGAAACAGCACAAAGTGCTTCAAAGTTGCTCCCATAATTAAGATCAGGCGGAGATAACTGCCTGATTTCTCAAGTCAGAATCAACTAGCCACTTACAAAAAGAATAAGCTTCAGCTTCTTCTGGGAAGTGGAGTAACCTGGGGGGGAAAAAACATGCCTCTTTGTATATGACTCCAGTTTCCTCATGGTTCCTCCCTGGTTAGGGCTGGATATGGACATTCAACGGGTGCCATAATACACAATTGTATTATGAAGTATAAACACGTCTTCTACTACTGCATTTTTACGCTGCCAAAAGTATTAGCAAGTAACATGTAAGAGCAGTGCCACCAGGGCAAAAAGGATTGAGGGGAGGGAGCAGAAAAACATCAAGGACTACCCCTCAGAACCTCTCAGGTGTACACAGAGAAAAGAGGGCAGCGGAGAATCAGCCTGAAGGAAATTTTCACTATGCAAAATCACAGCAGAGTAAGTAGATTTTACGTAATGGCTTCCAAAAAACCCAACACACCTCTCTCACAGCAAGGACAAAGGCACTATTTCAAGCTCACTATGGAAGACAGTATCCCTGAAGTAAAGAGAAGAGCTCTAGTAACAAAGGCCAAATTCCAAAAGCCCCGGAATTGGGAACTGCTGATCACATAAATGCTTTCTGGAGGCAGCCTCTTCGCTCGCAGCTCCTGTTTGGATCAGAGGATGCAGTACAGCTAACACAGCGCAGAGCATTTCTATAGCTATTACATTCCAGGTCACATCTTAATTGCCATGGAGCTACAACCAAAACTCCACAGCACCCATGGTGACAACTGGAAACTCACTTAACATAAGCTGAAGCTTGAAAAAAAGAATCAACATCAGACTATGTATTTGTGAGTGTAACAGGATGATTAATGAACATCTGAAATAAAACACACAGAACTACCTTCAAATAACAGTTTCCTTCTGTAGCAAGGTTACTACTAAAGAAAAAAAGAGAAAATTATAATTAAACCAGAATATAGCTGGTTCCTACTTGCCCTTCCAGAATGCCCCAATTTCGGAATGGAAGCAAGAAACTCTAGTACTGAGAAAATAAAAGTTTAGGGTAGGAAGATGGAGTTTACATGTGGTCATCTAATTCAAGGGAAGAGAAAAGACAAGTCAGTTCAGAAAGAGCAAAATACACTCCAAACAAGCAACCCACCCGAAAACTGTGATCAAGTTCCCACAATGAGTAAACAGGTAAAGGCTTCCAGAAAGAGATGAAAACATTCTCCCCGGCTGAACTTCTCGCCAGGGAAGCGCATCAGATCCCACACCAGGAGCCGAGCGGCTCCGTCTCCCTCCAGAGCACAACCCTCGCCAGCAGCCTCGGCCCTTCTGCGGGGGCCACCTCCAGAGGTGGGTGTAATTTAATCCCAGGAGCTCAGTCAGCCCTAGGCCGCTGAGAGCCAACATGGACGCTGCTTACCTCCACTCCGGGAGGTGTTTCCCAAAGTGTGAACACCATTTTAAAGGGAATTGCCATGAACCCAGCCGAAGCAATTCCACACAAACCACCCTGCAGCCAAGTTAGGCCACCAGCACCACTGGCCCCACCAAGATGAGGAAGGGGGTTTAACCCCTCCCGTGCCCAGGGCCACCCCAACCACCCCCCCCCCCCCCCAGACACTTCCCCATTCCCCAGGGCAAGGAAAGCCACGCGGAGAGCACGTACCTGGCGATGGGGCTTCGGCTCACAGACCGCTTCGTGGCGAAAGGGCTGCTCGAGCGCCGTCGGCCGTAAGGGCTCGGCGACCTCCCGCTGTACGAGCCGCTGCCTCTCTCGTAGCTTGAGGAGCGCCTCCTGTTATAGGGGCTTATGGACCTCTGCCGCCGGCTGTAAGGGCTGGGCGAGCGCGTGTTCGACTGGTAAGCCACGGGCTCCTTGTAGGGTGGGCTGATGGACTGCCGGCGTGAGGAGCCGCCGGGGCTCTTCCTGTAGGGATCATAGTTACTGGATGTGTGAGAGCGGGGAGGGCTGAGGTCGTACTCCTGGATGTAGGAGGCTCCTGAGGGGCTGTCGTCCAATTTAGGGCTGTCAGACCATTTTCTGTGAGGACTTCTGGATTTCCGCTTCGGACTGTCAATTGTTTTGTAACTTTTTGGAGCATCCCTTTTCCGATGGCTTTTACTGCGCTCTTTGTGGCTGGACTTGAGCTCCCGATCCTTCCTGGATTTCTCCTTGTGCGCTTTGGCCGACCGGGACTCCTTGTTGCTACTCTTTGAGGACAGCGACTTGGGGTGCTCCTCGCTTTCGAGGAGTCTCTTGGAGGATCCCGATATTCTCTCCTTGGCGGACCCGGACCTGCTGGATGCCTCCAGGCTCTTTTCTAACTTCCTCTCTTTTTCCGCCTGTTTGCTCTTCATCAGCTCACGAATGCGTTTGTGCTGGTGGTGCCGGTGCTTCTGTATCCTCTCGCTCCTGTCCGCTTTCCTCTCCTCGTTCTCCCTCCTGTCCAGCTTGAGGGCCACATCATCCGAGAAGGTATCCGAATCCGAACTGATGTCATCATACTCCACCAGCGGCTTGATCATCGCGCCCAAGGGTGCCGCCGTCTCCTGGGCTGCCAGCGGCGACTCCTTGGAGTGCCTGGACTTATGCCTCTTGTGCCTGGAGGCCAGCCGGTGCCTCTCCTTGCTGTTCGAACTCCCGCTGCCAGGCGCGTGCTGCAAGGACCCCCCGCCGCCCCCATCCTTCTTGCCCCCATGTCTCTCCGGATTTGGCATTCCTCCTCCACTGTGCTCGAGAGAGGGGAGGGGGGCAATCCTCCAAAACCCCCAAACTTCAAACTTCCTCAGCGCCCCGCTCCTCGCACCATTCACCCCGGCCTCAGCCCTCCCTGCCGCCAACACCCCCTCCTACATGGGGAGCGGGGCAGGGAGCGCGGCCCCGCGGCGCCTGGAGGCCCCGGAGGAGGCGGAAGCGGGGGGTGGCAGGAACCGGGAGGGGAGGGGAAAGGGCACCGGCCTCACCGCCTCATCCGAGGGGCCCAGGCCCGGAGGGCAGCGCCGCCGCGGGGGCGCCCCGGGAAGGCGGGGCCTGGGCCCGCGATCCCTCCCCGTTCCCTCAGCACCGGGCGTCCCGGGCCCCGCCTCGCCGGTCCCTCAGGCGGAAGGGCCCAGGGGGCTCCGCCGCCGCCCGCACCCCCCGGCCCGCCGCCGCCCCCCGCTCACTTCCCAAAGCGAAACGGCTCCGCGTCCAAGGGGGGGCGACCCGCCAACTCTCGCGAGACCTGCCCGCCTCTCGCGAGAGCGCCTCCGCCCCACCGCCCGCCCGATCCCGCGAGACCTCGCGGAGGGGAAAAGTGTGGGGGGGGGGGGGGGGGGGGAACAACACCCCGCGCCCGTCCTCTCGCGAGAGCCGCGCCGCCGCCGCGTGAAACTTTACAGGGGCCGCTTCCCCCGCCCCCTCAACCAATCGTCACGGGGGCGCCGCCGGTTGTCGCGGCCCGCGATTCCACGGCCGCCCGGCCTGCCCCGGGGCTGCCCGCGGCCGGTAACGGGCGGTGGCGGCGCGGCCGCTTCCCGCCAGCCGCCGCGCTGGGCGGCAGCGGGGAGGGCTGAGGGGAAGGAGGGGGGCGGAGCCTGCCGCCTCGCGCCCCGCCCGCTCCGCCCGCCCTCTCGCGAGATCCGCCCACTGTCTCGCGAGAGGGCGGGGGGGGGGCGCAGCCGCGGCCGGAGGGATGGCGGCGGCCGCCGCCGTGTGAGGCCGGAGCGCAGCGGCCCGGCCGCGGCTGTCCCCGTCCCCGTCCCCGTCCCCGTCCCCGTCCTCCCGCAGCCCCGCTCCCGCCCCGACGTGACGCCGGCCCGTCGCGGGCCGCCCCGTCCCCGCCCGCGGCATGAAGGCGGCGCCGGGCGGCGCCGAGGGTGAGTGCCGCCGGAGGGGCGCGGCGGGCGCTCGGGCTTCCCGCCGGCCCCGTGAGGGGACGGGCGGCGTTGGGGGGGGGGGGGGCCCGGCGGCTCCGAGGCACCGGCGCGGTGGTCTCCCCGAAAAGCAGTGGACGGGCAGTGGCCCGGCGGGGGGGGGGGGGGGGGCATCCCGCGGCCGGGGGCAGCTTCTCCGGCGCCGTGACTCGCTCCCCCGGCCGGGCCTCTGGGGCTTGGTGCTGGCTGTGGGGTGGTTCGGTTTTGGAAGGAAATAAAGTCGAATATTCCCCTGAGGATCCAACTTTGCTGAGATTTGGCAGGAAGCTCCCTGTCCTTTGGCTTAGCGGGGTCTGATCAATGTACAGAAATACCTGGAGGGATGAGGTAACGCAGAGGGAGCCTGGCTCATTTTGGGGGTGAACCAGAGGCCATGGGCTCACACGGAAAGGTAGGAAGCTCCACCTGAGAATCAGGAAACACTTTTTCACTTAGAAGGCTTCCAGAGGTGTGGTGGAGTCTCCATCTTTGGAAATGTCCCGAAGCCATCTGGACATTTCCTGGCTTGGGCAGGGAACTTGGACCAGGTTGATGTCCAGGGGTCCCTTCCAGCCTCAACCACTCTGTGATTCTAACCTAGCTGAGAGGTATAAAGTGCCTGAAAACATCTAACAAACATTCATTTATTCCTGACGCTTGGATTTAGTGGGGTCAGTGTTAGGTCCGTGAACTGTACGTGCATCAGTAATGAAAACAAACCCTTGACATTTTGCAGGTGAGGGCTTCCAGGGTTGCATGCTGTGGCAGTTAAAATGTCATAGACATCTGTTTGCCTTGGACCCACGAGTGCCAGTGACAGGATTTATTTTGGCAGTGATGTCCGCTAGGATTTTTTGACAAATGCAAGTGTAGAAAAAGCTGTGTCTTAACAAGAAACCCCAAAATTATAGTGCTCCTGACACCTGTGTTTTCCTTGTGCATATGTCTGACTAGATAGGGAAAAAATGAACCATTTAATCTTGAAACTTTTTTAGCTAAACCGTCCAACAATAGGTTTTTTACTTAGTCAAAAATCCTGTATTCCTCCTTTTTTCTCATTGGAGGGACATTATTCATAACAGTGAAACTTTCTAAAATATACAGAAGTCAGCTTGTAGAACCACAGGTAGTAGCAGGGAGCCTGTGAGATATAAGTGTTTTGTAAAGGCTGAGTAGGTTCTAGGCAGGTGGAGATCCATGACCCTTCCAGTCATCTACTGCTTCATTATCTCGCAGTGGACGGGGCTGTGCCCTGGCTCTGGACCAGCACTGGGGAGACACCAGCCCTCAGGTTTCAAGCTAGTGTGAGGTAGGAGTGTGCCTGATCAGAGAATTGGTGACAACTGGCAATTGGACTGATTTGGTTGGGGTTTCCGGTGATGGAAGAGTCCGCAAAGGTCTTTATTGTACAAGAGGATGCTGAGTTGGAAGAGTGAACAGTGAAGGGGAATCTAGGAAACGAAGCTTAACCTCTCTTCTTTAATAGAATGTTTTCTACTCTAGCTGTTTCCTGTCCCAGGAAGCTTCATCTTTAGACCATGCCATTGTATCTTCAAACTGTGCCCTGATATACTCCTGTCATGCCAGAACTTGATCTGGTGGGCCCATGTTACTCACAGACCATGTAGAATAGGAGCTGGGCTTTTCCCAACAGGCCTGTAGGCATTTTATGGTCCTTTAGGTTTTGATGGCTTGTGATATATCTTTAACATTTGCTTAACCTTAAGGTCTAGGTCGCAGAGATAAATCCGCAGTAAATAAGTTTTTTGAAATCCTGTTTAGCTTAAAGGTGTAAAGTGTTTTCATTACAACTGCCAAGCTGTTTTATTTGTAAAACTTCAAATATTGTCTTGTTCTTTCTTCTGAATACTCCCCTGTCTGCAGAAACAGAGAAGCTGAATAAGATGAGTACCCTCTTAGAAAGACTCCATGCAAAGTACAACCAAAACAGACCTTGGACAGAAACCATGAAGTTAGTCCGTCAAGTCATGGTGAGAATTGTTGGGATCTCAGCAGGAGGGTTTCTGAAGTTTGCTAATAATTTTGCTGTTGGTTTGTTAGATCTCTGCAAAGTGCTTTCCCTTTTGTTCAAGCCTTGCCTTCCTCCTGGGCCAGTGTTGTTGAGGCGTGCTGGTTGTCACATCCCGCAGCGTGCAGGGGAGGCCGTACCCTCTCTGTCTCGTGAGCCTTTGCCTTAATTACAGCCTCCCCCTCGACAGCCCACTTGACACGGGGCAGTTGTCAGCTCGGCGCCAGGAAAAGGGTCAAACGTGTGGTTTCAGCCAGTGCTGAGAAGCCCAAACTGTTCTGCCACTTGCTGTTTCGGGATGTTGCGTTTTGTAAAGCAACTTGCTCTCCCCGTTCAGCGATACTCAAAACTTGGCGCTGACTTAGTCAAACAGGGGTTTGAAATATTGATCTCTGGGTGGGGGGAAGGAGGAGCAGGAGACAGGAGAGAGCGACATCAAAGGCTTCGGCATATATTTTGATGTTAAAAATTTGCCTGTCTCATTATTTTTCTGTTGTCTCTTATATAACTCTTAGCTTATGCCTATTAAAAAGTTACTACAGTCTGTTCTTCCAGATGAGCGAGTTGCTTAAAAGAAAATAAATCAATTCCAACCCTACTTTTGTTACCTGCTTCCAAAACATACTGAGGATGTAATTTGGGGATGAAATCTAATCTGCTTTTAATTACCTAAATAAACCTCACTTGACTGATCAAATGTTGCAATAATACCTTCTTACTGAGTGATACAGAAAAAGGATGGTTTTTTTTCTTCTTTCTGACTAAGGAAAAGCGAGTTGTGATGAACTCTGGGGGGCACCAACATCTGGTGAGCTGTTTGGAGACATTGCAGAAAGCGTTAAAAGGTTGGTACATTCTGTGTGTGCACTTTACAAGCTGCTTAACAGTGATACGCTACGGAAATACTCCAGATTGTAAAAGCAGGCAAGGATGTTGCAGGCACGTGTCTCACTGCGTTCCTAGTGCGTGTGTGCTCACATTTACATAAGCACGCTCAGCTCAGTGCCGGGCAGCACCACTCGGGATTGCCTGTGTCACTTTGTTGTAAATGCCTGTACCTGAATTCCTCTTGCAGAAGAAAATCCATTCTCTATTTGCAGTTCTGAGGACATTTGGTTTTCTCTATGCAAATTGTTTTGCCTATATTTTGAGTACAGATAATGTTTCGCGTGTGAAGGTGTGAGCAGACATGGGAGAGAGTAACTAGTTGACATCGGATTTAATGCTGATGTCTTATTCCTACGGAAATGTCAAATCATTTCACTAATCCTTGTTTTTTGCTCTCTCCATCTAGTATCTTCTCTGCCTGCCATGACAGATCGCTTAGAGTCCATAGCTAGACAAAATGGGTAGGTCCTCTCCTTTATTTTACATCAAAGGCTTTTCCTGTTTATCTGTACACATCGCAATCTCGCTGCTGGTTTGATTGTTTTTTGTGTGCACCTCATAGCAATTTTTGTTTTGTTTTGTATGTAAGCCTTGGATCTCACCTTAGTGCAAATGGCACTGAATGTTACATCACTTCAGACATGTTCTATGTGGAAGTCCAGTTAGATCCTGCAGGGCTGCTCTGTGATGTCAAGGTGGCTCACCATGGAGAAAACCCCGTGGTATGTATTACTGACAAATATGAGGGTAATGCCTTTGTGTTTTTGGAACTGCCATTTTGGGTCCCTTTTGTTTGAGCAGAGCAAATGGATTATATTTAATGTTCACGTAGACCTAGCGTTACCCCTTTGCTGCTTGTTCTAGTGGAAAGTAAAAGCCTCCATGGAGTAGTCCATTTTTGGGGGTTAATCTGATCGATGTAGTGTACACGTGCAAGGACCGTTTTACTGATGGTCTCTCTTTTTGAGTGGTTTTATAACTGGCAAGATTATTTGAGGAAGTTACCGCTGTGTTTCTGAGAATTTTATTTCTGGAGGAAGGGTGGGGAAATTAATCTTACAAAACTTAGATCTGTGAATGGAAAATACTAAAACATGGAATGCTGAAAGAAAATGACTTTACAGTCTTTCCCTACATTGACCTAGCCAGTCTTCTGAAAACAGACCATTTTTAACATCTCTCTATAAGATCATAGGTTTTCAACCTAAGGCTTCACAACTTGAAAAGTTTATTTCAAATCAGTCATTTAAGAGGGAAGAGTGTTGCTTGAATTTGTCCCAGAGGGGGTTGAGGAGCAGAACTAGAACCATAGCAATGTGTGTAGTTGTGAGCATTGTGTTGCTTCTCATGAAAAGCTGATGCTCAGAAATTTTACTGTCCTAATATTTTACAGTTGCTGTGCTGCACAAAGACTGAAATTGCTGCATTCGACATTGATATCGTTCTATGTTCTTTCCTTTTCAGAGTTGTCCAGAATTGGTACAGCATCTGAGGTGAGCAACGTGAGTTGTTTG